TTCGAATGTTTCATTCGAATGATCAAATTTTTATTCGATTGAAACCAAAGTGTAGTCCCTACGCCCCTACCGAAATTTGGTAATGGTATGCGCATACGCAACTATAAGAGCTACCTTGTTATCAAATGCTTCCACAACTTCCTGCGTGACTTCCGGAACCTGCATAAGGACTTGCGGTAGAGAATTTGAAAAACGACGCTGTAAGCATTGGAATCTAAGTAGGCTAGCAAAGAAAAAGAAAACCACGCACCAGAGCGCAATATACATGAAACACCAAGGCTATCAGCGGTGTACCAGCTACTTCATCAGCTCCATGTAACTGCAGCGAACGTATTGCACATACTAACATGTACACTCCAACTTCATCATCGTAGCACTCCACCAACTGAAAGGACTTTGAAGAAATAAGAGACCTCAGCGTGATGTAAGCTACCTTCTCTGACAAAGCTTTGCATAGTGCAATGGATTTCAACGCTAGCAATGAGTCACGGAGAGTCAAGGATGAAAAGGCCGTCATAATCACTGAAGACAATCCTATTTTGTTCACAAAAAGCCACTCTCCAAGAGTTGATAATGAATGGTCCTTTCTGTCTTCGCCTGAGAGTTTGATTTCTCTTAATCTGACATGATGAATTGAAACAATTATAGACTCACAGTCACTTGGCAGATAGCAGAACCGTAGAAAATTCGTGTATTCTCTGGATACTACACAAGTCAAATGCTCGTTAAACAGCTCTTCCTCGGTTGGTTCAGAATCTAACGGAGACGCTCCACATAAGTTGAGCAAGCGACCTTAGAAAACGCCCACCGTAGTCTATGTGAGAAATGTCGGCCCACATTGTTTGTAGTCTCTCCTGCATTGAACTAACAATGCGCACAAAAAAATCCTTCAACAACGGATAGTTCACAGCAGGACAGCTTCCCAAGATAGCCTTCCTGTGAATCCATGAAATGTATGGATTGGACAAAATCGCCTCTGCACTGACCAGCCCTTTTTTATCCAGTGACGTAATCTGAACACAGGAACGAGATCGATGTTGGTGATGAGGAGATTCAGCAGCTCTGGCGTATCCGGTAGACTGAATATGATTTCAGGGAATTTACCCACAGCAGCCGCAATTATAGTGACTCTGAAGGTGGTATATTAACACTTAAAAACAGTGAATCGGCAAAATGAGCCCTTCCCGCAATTTAGTGGTGTTAGCTAGTAGACCCGCAAGTACACTGTAGCCCAAAGCCCACCTGCCAATATGCGCTAAGTCCTGCAATGCTCTTAAAAACTCCACCGGCCCCGCCTCTTTATATTGAGTGGGTGAAGTCGGTGAAGTTTAAAGGCACTGTCCGGACAAAATTTCAAACTAAGTTTATTTCGCATACTTGAGCTTATCCTTCCCGCCAAAATGCAACTTGCAGTGTACGAAAATGTCGAAAACGGG